ACTGTACTGTACCTAAAATGTACCAATAAACTCAATGAGAAAAAACAAAAACAAAAATTTTTTTAAAAAAATTATAAGGGCCAGGGATTTAGCTCAGTGTTTCCGCCACGTGCCTCACACATCCCCAGTACCAAAAATAAAAATAAAAAACAAATTATAAATTTTGGCTAACAATGTACCTTTTGTCTTCAACTTAAAATGATGTTTGATTGGTATTTGGTTTCCAGATGTTTAATCAACGTATTTAAAACATTTCTTTTACATTGCAAATTCTTATATTGTAATTATGGTTTTTTTGTTTGGTTGGTTTTTTTGTTTTTTGGTACCGGGGATCAAACTTGGGACCTTGCACTTGTGAAGCAGGTGAAGGAACCACTGTAAATTGTAATTATGGATTAACGTGACCATCTCTCTACTTTCTGCTTACAGACTTCTGACAATAACTATAACACAAGATTATACTACTGTTATAAAGCGCTTCTACTCCTTCTGATTCTAATTCTACAAAAGATCTGTTAATTGAAGTGCAAGTTTTGACTAGTCTTAATTAAAAGATATTATAATTCAACTAGACAAATATATTTTAGTGCACTCTAGTTTCATAAATTCTCTGTCTGTCCAACTGTTTGAAAGTGTTTGTCCAATTATATTTTTTATCAAAGTGACATCAAAGATACAAATAAATTGTTTATTTCCATAACCTGGTTTTACAGGTTAAATAAAAAATTGTTAAGATAATTAAATACAAACTTTTAGGTCTGGATAGACTCCTGTCAGTGAATAAAGCAGCAGGTGCTCAGAAAAATTTGTTGTGGTCTTTGTTCACTAATGGGAGACCCAATAATTTTCATAGCCTTCTGGGAAGATATCTCACAAAATATGTTATTATAAAATGTTTACATTGGTTAACATCAAAGGGTTGAGTTCTAAATATGTTAATGTGATATGTTTATAAAGGTCATCTTCAAAATACACTATTTTCTTTTTTTTTTTTGAGACAGGGTCTCACTATGTAGTTGAGACTGTCCTGGAACTCACAGTGTAGCCCAGGCTGGTCTCGAACTAACAACTCACAGCAATCCTCCTGCCTCAGCCACTGGAGTGCTGGGATTACAGGCGTGTGCCACCACGACCGGCTAAAATATAATATTTTCTGTGGAAAAACAAGGAGTTACTAAAAAGATCCTTTTGGTACCAAGCTACATTACAGGGAATAAGGTTTCGTATAATTTTAATAATTATTATTACTACTTTTCTGGTGTGCAAAATGTATTCATGTTTTCTGACTATACAGGTCTTCCAACATGTTATTTATGGAAATAACCTTCTGAGCCAGGTATTCGCCCTTCTCTCCTGTTCCACCTACTCATGATCACAGGCACATCTGTAGGCCCATACACTTTCCGTAGATGGCATCCTATCAAAAAGTATTAAGAGTTTTCCTGGATTTTTTGTTTTTATGTGTTTTTGGAGGGGAATGAATACATTTAACAACAACCAATTTATACTAAGATACATATCTAAATTTGTTGTAAAGATAATGCACCACCGAAGTGCAGAGACCAACACTAAAAGGTAACTGGGCTAAAAAGACTGCCAGTATTTTGGCCCTGGCCCTCCAAGGTCATCAAAGATCCAAGGTATGAAGGAACCTTTTCTACACACCTTACATCTTTGGTAAGTCACCCAACATCCTGAGCAGGAAGACTGCTGGACACCAGAGGACAAATGTACCAAGTGCCAGAAGCAGGTCACCAAGAGAAAAAAATCTCCCATGCTTTCACTGAAAGTAACTTGGTCAAGCAAGGCCCATGGCCCATCCTAACAGCTGACACTGACAGGAGCTGAGACGCTCTATGCATGGTTCCAAAATAATGCCTAAAGAGATTTAACTGACCTTGACAGATAGCAAGATGTTCATATTGATTAACACAGGTCTCACTTTAACTTGGTCTTAAACACCCAGAAGAAAAGAATAACCAAAAGAGGCAGTCAATGAACAGGTACTAGCAATAGACTTTTTTTTTTTTTTTTGGTTTTTTGAGACAGGGTCTCACTATGTAGTTGAGACTGACCTGGAACTCACTATGTAGCCCAGACTGGTCTTGAACTCACAGCAATCCTCCTGCCTCAGCCTCCCGAGTGCTGGGATTACAGGCGTGCGCCACCACACCCAGCTTAGTAATAGACTTTTGAGGCCCACCACTCCACCTCCCTATAAAGGGATAGATCTCTAAATGGTAAACCAGATAACCCAGTCTCAATAAAAGGCTACAACTCTGGGCAGGAATTTAGCTCAGTGGTTCTACCACCTGCTTCACAAGCACAAGGTCCTGAGTTCAATCCCCAGTACCAAAAAAAAAAAAAAAAAAAGGCTACAACTTCTATTTAATACCACCCTCCACTAGCTCCCTGTCAATATCTCAGACTGCTGAATGTGCATATCCGTTTACCCCTGTCTGTTTACTACAATTCCCACCTAGATTTTAACTTGTCTGGTCTCAAATACTGGCAATTTATCCACAGGTTCTGGGACCCTTTGCTACAGGTCTCCCATTCTCTACACAAACCACTAACCTGACGTGCATGGGGCAAAATGACAATATCACTTGACTTGCTTCTTCCTCTTTATCTCAGAAGAATGTATGATCTGCCTGTCCAATGGCCTATACTTTGAATGTAATCAAGCATTCCAATGCCTCATCAGCCTGACATTTTGTTACCTGTCCTTTCTTAGACCACCCATGACCATTTATACAGAAGCCCAGATGTCTAAACAAGTTCTCCCACAGAACACCATCAGAAAAAGGGCAGTTCCCTTTCTAGTCCCCTTCTCAACGAGAGTGAGGGTCCTCACTGGGATGGCAATGGGGATAGCGGGCATTTCTACATCCGCACATCTCTATCAGGACCTGTCCAGAGATTTCAGAAGACATGGATAAAATAAGCCAGTCCTTAAATACAGTACAAGGTCAAATAAATTATCTAGCAGCAGTCATGCTACAAAATAGAGGGGCTCTTGACATGCTGACAGCAGCCCAAGGGGGAACATGCCAGGTGCTAGGTGAAGAATGCTGTTATTTTGTTAACCAGTCAAGTATTGCTAAAGCAAAGGTTAAAGAATTACAGCAGCGCATCAAAGAGCGAAAGAGATGATGGAATTCTCAGGGAATAGACCAAAGCTATTCCTGGCTTCCCCAAATTATGCCTTAGCTACTTCCCTTGTTGGGCCCACTTGCTTGTATATGTCTTTTAATCATAAGGCCCTGTCTCTTTGGCTGTTTTCAAAATTTCTTGCAGCAATGCATGAGGGTATTTACCAACAAGACAGTCACAGAACCAGTCATGGCGGGTATTGGTCACTGTGGCAGAAGGAAGAAGCTCGCACCTAGCGCTACCACCATCCGATCCAGGTTTAACCCCAACCTTCACCCCTTTGTCAGTTTGAAGCAGCTCCAGAACAACCATAAAACAAAAGCCTGGAATGTTAGATTTCCCTCCCCTTAAAATGGCCCTAACTAGTGATGACACGAGCCCCTCGTAGTGATGTCACAAGCTCCCCAATCCCTAGCCACTGCATCACTCAATCCCACCCCAGCTCCTATAAGCCTTACCTCAGTCCTATAAAAGAAGCTCCCTGTTCTGCCATGTTACTCTCTCTTCTTTGTTCAGACACCCCAGCAGATCCTCCCCATAATAAAGGCTTGTTATGGTCAAAACAACAACAGCAACAAATTATCATTCTAACATAATTGGAAAGATAGGTGCTAAAGTAAGTGTTAGTAGTGGTGGGGGGAGTTGAGAAAACTATAGATTCTAGAATTGGACTATCCAATAGGACCTTTTGAGATGATGGAAATGTTTTATAATCTGTGCTATCAAATATGGTAACTACTAGTTACATGCGGCCACTGAACCCTAGAATTGTGGCTAGTGGACGTGAGGAACTTCAATTCTATGAACTTCTAATTAATTTAACATGACATAGCCACACATGACTAGTATCCACTACATCCAACAGTATATACCACTAGATTCATGTGACCCTGGGTTTCAGAATCCTGGATTCACCAATGGCTGTTACTTCATTTCTCTGAGACTGTTTATTCTTATATAACAGTGGCAAAACCTACTTCACGAGTGTTACAGTGGGCTGTTTGTTATTAATGAATGCTCTAAAAAGTTCACCATCACTGCATAAGGTAAAAATAGCAACAGCACCTATTTTGTCACACAAATTAAATTAAATAAAGCATGATACACAATACCGCACAAGCGGCAAACACTGAAAATTAACATTTATTATTCCTTCCAAATGGTACCCATGAGATAAAAGACCACCATTTCTTTTTTTCTGCATTTTATCCCCACTGCATACATAGTATAGTACCCCACACATGAAAAGACACTCAGTATTTGTTGAGTGAATGTTATTACAATCACAAGACTTAACATTTACTTCTATCACATTTCATATTAACCCCATTGCTCCCATCTGTTGAGATCTAGAACAGATCTTTGAATCCTAATGTCATCCAATATACTTGATAAACTTTTTAGTATTTTATAAAAATTTTATTAATGGATTATCTATATTTTAATCTGAGAGATTAATAAAAATGTTAACCAGAGACCTGTAACGCCAGTTTCATCATTGTAGTTTATTAATTGATACTAATTGTAGTTCATCAGTAGTTCATTAACTGATACTAGTTAAGTACAGATATTCAATCTAGCTTCATTTTCATCCTGTCTCTACTTTCCTTCTTGCCCACAAAGAAGCCACATATGAGGGCTTTATAAAGATCAGATTATGCCAATATGTTCTTCACTGAAACTACCTTTAGAGAGAACTTAAAAATAACTCACCCTTCAATAGCTGGAGATCTGTCAGGACGAGTACTTCCTCGAGACCTGTATCTCCGAGTCATTGGAAGCCTTGGAGGCCGACTTGGTCCCCAGAAGTCAGTGTGAGTTTGGTGAGCCCTGTCATTGGCTCTATTATCTTGGTCCAGTGGATTGCTACTTAGAAATGGTCTAAATTCTTGGAAAAACATCGTTTGACCCAAATGGTCCCACAGCTAGTAAAAAAACAAAAGAAAATCACATATTAGGAAAATGGAACAAATAACAGAGAATAACTTTTAACAGTTTGAAATTCAGTGGCTCCAAAATAAAATGTCTCACCAATTTCATGGAAGAGTAGAGAGAAAGCTTCAGAGTACATAAAATATTGGGGGAAAATGTAAAAATAGAGAAAGTAATGTAAAACATAAAAATAAAGAAATATAAACATGTAAAAACAGAGAAACTTTTACTTCATAAAGTAAGCAAGCCAATGGCTGGCCATGTTCCTTAACACTTAGTTCATATCCACATACCTCTGATCCATTTCCCCTTCAGAAATATAAATTAGCCAAAGATTATCATGGACTTCCATCCTAAGCACAATCAACCATTCAGGACAATATTATAAACCTGTGTTTTGTCACAAATGACACCCACATTCCTGATAAGATTTAAATAAAATGAATAATTTATATGCTTATTTTTAACAAGGCCATCATCACCACCACAAAGACATCCATAAAATACTTCTCTTGACCTGCGCCTGCATCAGGGATGGTTGTATCAGAGCAGTGTAGAAATGTCTGCTGAGAGCACTCTGTGGTACATATGTATTTTTATCACTAAAACGGGGTGAGGCTGAGGGTTTGAGTTTGGCAGAAGAAACATTAAACAAAAGGTAACTGGGAAAAAATGACCTTAAAATAATCAGTTTTATTTATCTATATACTAGATATCTAGCCGGGGATTTAGCTCAAGGTTCCGGAGCCTGCCTCGCAAGTACCAGGACCTGAGTTCGATCCCAGGTATTAAAAAAAAATTTTTTTTTTATGCTAGATATCTCAAAAGATCTACAAAATAATATTTAATATACTCCATCCACCAAGCATATATAACACTGGTCATATTAATCTGTTTGCTTTTCAAGTTTCAAGTCAAACAGAAAAGCTCATTATTTAGTGTATATATAATAACAAGGGCACAAAACTTCTCAGCACATGACCTCAGGCTTTACAAATCCTCACAACCCCTCCATTCCATGCTCTTCCAGAGATCCAATACCATGTTAAGCTGACCTGAATACAGACCCTACTCCAGTCTCAGTCTACCAATAACCCACTCAGTTAACTCTAGAAGTTACAGAGTCTGGTAAGTGTGTTGATGTTATTTTTCACATTTTCCAGCTTTTCAAATTTGCTTCTGATTTTCAAAATGTTTCCTCCCTTAATTAAAAATACACAGGTTAGGGCTGGAGATTTAGCTAAGTGGTTCCACTGCCTGCCTCACAAGCACAAAGTCCAGAGTTTGGGCCCAGTACCAAAAAAAAAAAAAAAAAAAAAAAAAAAAACACAAATGTACAATATAAAATATACTGTGCAATAATCTTCATTTATTCAGCTGTGATCAACCTCTACACCTATACCAGAGGTGGATTTGAGTGCAGAATTCCAGATCTTTACATATTTCTCTGTGTCTGTAACCATACACACATCTATATATCTATACATACACACGCACATTGTGCACACATATATACAAGGTTTGGTTTTGTTTTTGGTAGTGGAGATTGGACTCAGGACCTTGCACTTGGGAGGCAAGTGCCATTGACCTAAATCCCTGGCCAAATTCAAGTTTTTTTTTAAAGGGTCATACTACACAGACACACATTTTATCCATTTAACAATTTTTTATGCATGTACCTACTATGTCTCACTTTTTGGGCAACAGTGAACAAAACAGGATTTTTAAAAAAAAAAGAATCATCTGCTCCAATAGATTTTATTCTTAAGTGAGAAGAAACAGACACAAAAACCACTTGCCTACCCCAAAAAAGGAAAAGGAAACTATATGAGATGACAGCTAAAGATAAATGGAGGAGGAAAACTCAGTTTGTACTACCTAAAAACAGTTATTACCATTCTTTTCAATAGCAGGATAGCACAGGTGGCTATTTTATATAATATTTTAAATTATCATAATATATCACATTTATGTGTATAAAACACACAACAGTCCGGTGTGAGCTGCGTTGGAGTTGTGCCAAAGCAGCACAGGAATGTCTGATAAGTGTTCTGTTGTGCATATTTTTATCACTGAAATGGGGTGGGGTGGGGATTTGAGTTTGGAAGAAGAATCCATTTATAATCCCAGTTACCTAAAAGACCAAGATAGGCGGATTCCAAGTTCAAGGGCAGCCTGGGGAACTTAGTGAAACCCTGCCTCAAAATAAAAAGTGTTGGTGATGTAGTTCAGTAGTAGAACATTTGCCTAGCATGGAAAGCTCTGTGTTCCATCCCCAGTACCAGGGCAAAGGTGAGGGGAGACACACACACATAACGAATAAATAAAAGAAAATCAAACAAAACATGTTCATCTCTTGTATCATCAAAGCTATGGTAATTCTTTGTGTATCCCTCCCTTGACCCCCAGAAGTAACCATGATCTCAAATTTTTTCATTCTCTGGGGTTTAATATTTACTCTATAAATGTCTACATCCCCAAGTAAATTTGCCTTATGAATTTCTCTGGTACTTGCTTTTTTGGCTCCACACGTTGATGTTGTTATATAGCTATTATCCATTCATTTTCAAACACTTTATTCCATACTTTTAAACAATCTTTTCTCATATCAATGATATCTGGATTTTTTTTTTTATTGTTTCCTACAATTGTTTTTGCTTTTAAAAAAGGCTGCCATGATCATTATGTGTCTTTTTGTAGTACTGGGGATTGAACCCAAGGCCTTTGTTTGCACTGAGCTATATCCCCAGTCCTTTTTCAAAGTTTTTATTTTGAAACAAGGTCTCACCAAGTTGCTAAATTGCCCAGCTACGATTGAACTTGAGGCTCTCCTGCTTCAACTTCTCAGTGCTGGGATTACAGGCGTGCACCACCTCGCCTAGCTTCAACTGTGTTTATACAACTACTGTAGGCTCTACATATCTTCAGCTTTACTAGGTAGTGCCAAACTGTTTTCCAAAGTGGTATAAACAACTTACACATCCCGAGAGTGCTTAGAAGTTTCTATTGTGCCACATCCTAACAAGCACTTGACGTCACAGGACTGTTTCCTCAGTTTTCAACAATTTGGTGAGGTTTTTATTTTTGGTGTATAACAACAAATAGCAGCGTTTACTTTAAATGCAAATTCTTTGGCCCTATGCCAGAAAGTATACTTAATAACATGTGTAGTGAGCCTGTAAGACTATCTTTGATATTTCTGGTAGGACAGATTTGTCAGTAAGGAATACTCTCAGCTATTGTTTAAATGAATGTTTTGATGTCTCCTTCAACCACCCCCCTTGGGTTTTTTAAGGCAGTGTCTCACCATGTAATTCAGGCTGGCCTTGAACTCACTATGTAGCCTAGGTTGGCCTCAAACTCACAGCGATCCTCCTGCTTCAGCCTCCCAAGTGCTGGGATTATAGGTATGTACCACCACATCTGGCTTTTCCATTTTTCCTGAAGTAGATTTTGCCAAATTTAGAATTCCTGGTTGGCAAGTTTTTCTTTTCCCTTTAGTTACTTGGCTACAGTGAACCTTTGACTTTCAGAGTCCTGATAAGCTTGACTCAGATATCTTTTGCCAAGTTTTTTGATGCTTCTACTCTGCCATTACTCTTTCATTATTGTAGTAAGGCTAAGTATCTCTGCGTATTTAGTCACATATTTCTTCTCTTTCATATTTTTGTCCACTTTTCTATTAAATGGACTTTATATATTCTGTATATTTAATCTTTTGCCAGCTGCATGTGTTAAAAGTATATTTTCCTAATTGTGGCTCATTTTAAATTTTTTTCCTGGAGATTCTTAAAAATTAATTTTAATATACCACAAATTCCCCATGATTTGGGCTTCTGGGGGGCTTAAATAAGTCTTCCCTAGCACAAAGCCATTTAAAAAATTCTCTAGAGCCAAGCATGGTGGTATATGCCTATAATTCCAGCACTCAAGAGGCTGGGGTAAGAGGATCTCCACAAGTTTGAGGCCAACCTAGGCTACAATGAGTTCAAGGTCAGGCTGAACTACATAGTGAGACCTTGTCTTGAAAAATAAATAAATGAATAAAATCTCAAATAAGGGATGAGGATGTAGCTTACTTGTAGAGCATTTGCCTATTATGCAAATAAGAAATAGGCCTGGGGATGTGGCTCAGAGGACTTGCTGCCTGCCTCACAAGCACAAGGTCCCACGTTCAAATCCCCAGTACCAAAAAAAAAAAAAAAAAAAAAAAAAAAAAAAAAAAAAAAAAAAAAAAAAAGAAAGAAAGAAAAGAAAAAGAAATAAAAATTTCTCCATCCTTTCTTTGGGTACCTTTTAAGGTTTTGTCTTATACACATCAGTCTTCAATCTACTAATTTTTTTATAAGGCCTAACACAGGTATCTAATTTGTTTTCCACACAGAAAACTAATTTTCCTAACATCTTTTATTTAATAATTCCTCCTTTCATTGCTGATCTTCAGTGCCATATCTAGCATATCAAATTTGTATATGTGCCTGGGTCTATTTTCTGGATACTTACTCAGGTCTATTAATCTGTACAGATACCACACAGTCTCATTATAAACTTTATAAAAGTTTTGACATCTCACACATTAATTTTCTCCACCATGTTCGTCTTCAAGAATATCGTGGTCATTTTGGCCTTTTCATCTTTCATATGTATTTTAAAGTCACTTTGGTAAGCTTCCCATATAAGCCATACTGAGACACTGCATTGAATCTATATATCCTGTCAACAAACATTATTAAGTTCATTGGGGAGCTTATTTAGAAAGGCAGAATCTCAGACCACATCCTATCTACCTGAATCAAAAACTGATTGACATGCACATTAAAATTTGAGAAGCACTGCTATGGACTACTAGGCAAGTAACATTTTTATCATACCAAGTCTTTTTATCCAAGAATTCAGACCAGCCCCATTAATCCCCAAATTTATTCAGGTCTCCTTTCAATAGTTTTGTCATTCAAAAGTTGTGTATCTTTCTCCATAAAGATCTCAATAAACT